AGAATCAAGGTTTTTAGTGTAAATTTTCGTGTGTATTTTGACCCACTATTATGAAAAATTTTTATATATATCATTTTTTAATCTATTAAGAAGTTTGTGTGTTATAAATGTTAAAAGAAATTCTTGGCATTCAAGCGAATGTTACACACAATAATTAAAAAAAAAGAGAAAGGATTGCACACTGACTGATAATTATTGTTAAATTAATGGTTATTAGATAACATGAATAAAAATTTGCTTCAGATATCTATTTGATAAAAACTTGTATATTTTTATATTCGGTTAAATACTGGGCTAGCAAAATACATTGGGGTGTGAGATGCCCTAATTAAATCAAAATTAGGTGATGTAACATAATGCCGATCAATAGCAAACTTTTTTTTAAAAAAAAATAAGAATATATGTATATAAAAACTATATAAATAAAAATCGTATCAGAGCCTTCAAATAAAGAGATACAGACATGAAACTAAGAGAAATTATAGTAAATAGATTAAGCTTTTAGATTACAGAGAGTTTTTTTTTGCTAAATTAAAAAAAAATTTTTTTTATATATTCTAAAGAAATTGAAAAAAGATTGCTAATAGGAAAACTTTATAACCAAATGAGATAGGAAAAAAAGCTCTCTGTAACTTTATTATAGAAGACTTAAACAATAAAATTATAAAAAGTTTTGTTTAATTTTATTATAAAAAACAAAAGTTATCATGGTTTAAAATTATTCAATTTATTATTAAATTTTACCATAAAAATTTACATTGCAACTGATAAATTAATAGAAATTTCTTTTTATAATTCATATTTTCAAAAAAATATATTGTTAGTTGAATTTTGTTGTCAACATTTACAATGTATTGAAATATATGATAAAGATACTAAAAAAATCCGCACATAATAATTTGTTATATTGATGTAACATATGTTTGATGATCAACTGCCATCGAACACCACAAAAATACATGCAACGATTTAGTTGAAGCTTCCTTTTCTCAAAAATAAAAATTTTCTTTAAAACTTTTGTGTAATTTATTCGGGCCAATCAAATTTCGTGATAAAATCAAAATATGATCGACGAAAATCATTACCAATTTGCAAATATCCGCCATTGGGGTGTTAAATATCAGCATAAACACAAACATAGTTGTGAGGATTTTTTATTGGGAAAATGCAGATCAATTTAACAAATAATAATAACAATAATATCGTTCATTGTAAATTTTCTTATAAATATTCTCCTAAAATTGCTTTTGCTGCTTCTTCTCCAAAATTCTCTTCACTAATTTCATTGCCTGTAATTAAGTTCATCACGCGTAACTAATTTCATAATTATGTATTATGTGTTACATTTTTGTGATATATACTTCTTTAAAATTAAAAAAGCTTCAAATATACAAAAACACTAATTTTTATATTCATGATCATAATAACCTGAGCTACCAAATAATGTAAATTTCATACAAAGTCATTATGTAAGATTTTGCAGAATTTTCGAAAAAATGCATTTGACTTTTTAGATTAGAAATGTGATGATCTTTCTAAAATGGATTTCATATATATATATATTAAGGATGTTAGCCGAAATTGTTTTTAAATTTCCGAATATTTCGGATTTGAAATGTGCATTCCGATATTTTTCCAAAATGCTGATATTTTGCCGAAATGCCGATATTGAAAATGCCAAAATGTGCCGAAATGCTGAAATTCCATATATAGAAATGGAAGTGCCTAAATTCCATACACAGGTAGACTTGATAAGTCGGTCCCTCGATAAGTCGGTTTTGGCCTAAGTCAGCCAAAATTTTTCAGCCCTTTTTTTCCCTATTTAAA